TTAGGTGTTGTTTTCAGATGTTTAATTCCATTCCCTGTTCCATTCCATTCACAGAAAGCTTTGAATTCGTCTGACCTGAACTGAGGTCCATTGTCTGATTTGAGTGTTAAGGGAAGTCCATGTCGGCTAAATATGCCCTCTAGGCTGTCAATCACATTTGAAGTTGTGGTGGAGGTCATTATATCATACTCATAATACCTGCTATAATAATCCACAACAACCAGAATTGAATGTTTCGAAGGCAAGGGCCCCAGCAGATCCACTGCTAAATCTTGCCACGGTCCATCAGGTAATGGTAAAGGTCGTAGTGGCTCTGGAGCATCAGGACGAGAGACAATTTGACAGCCATGACACGATTTACAATGTTTCTCAGCAGCTCTGTCCATGCCAGGCCACCATACTTTGGTTCTGAGATGCTGCTTAGTTCCAACTATACCTAGATGTCCCTCATGGGCAAGTGCTAGTGCTCGTGCTTGTAATGTTTTTGGAAGTACAATACGTGTTCCACGTAAAACCAGATAGCCTATTGTGCACAGCTCATTAGCTATGGCTGCATAAGACTTTCAATAGCTCTTCGCACTTCTGTCAGTTCTGCATCTTTTTCTGAAGCCTCTTCCACTTCCCTTGTGGTTAGGGCTCTTGGAGTGGCACTAATGGCTACAAATCTCACATACTCATCAGAGTCATGTGAGTGTTTCTCTCTCATTGCTGTGCTCCCTAAAAGTCGTGACAAAGGGTCAGCAATATTCTCTTTTCCTGAAACAGGCAATCTTAAAGTCATATGGTTGGAGACGTAAAACCCACCGCTCTATGCGGGCACATGGCTTAGAACGTGGACCATATATTGACTCTAACGGTTTATGGTCTGTGAGCAAGTCAAACTGTCTCCCATAGATATACGGGTGAAGCCTTTCACAAGCCCATACAAGAGCAAGGGCCTCCCTCCCGCCTTCATGACGGCATGTAGGCGTTGGCTGTGTCTTTTTTGGTCCGGAGCATGCACAATTATATCATCAGAGATGTTTTCAACTCCCTCTATTCCAGTAAGTGCAGCAGCTATCTCATGTTGATATTGCTCACTTGCAAATGATACTCCAAAAATGAGATGCTTATATCTGTACACTCCATTATGAACTGCAAAAGTTGTGATCTGGCGAGATTCTGGTGTCAGCTCTAACTGATGGTAACCCCATTTCAGATCCAATTTGCTGAAAATCATTGATCCGTTCATACTTTGTAGAAGTTCATCTACTGTAGGAATAGGGTATCATTCTCTGATGATTACTCGATTGGCCTGCCGCATGTCAAGACAAAGTCTGATTTCAGAATTAGCTTTTGGCACAATTACAACAGGATTGACCCATGGAGTGGGTCCATTTACTTCTTCTATAATGTCCATCTCTAAGAGTTCTTTGATTTTATCCTCCACAGGACCCCTCAGATTAAATGGTATTCTTCTTAAGGGTTGGGCTACAGGCTGGACTGTTTGATCAATGTACAGACAGATTTGCTTAGTTTTCAGCTTACCAACTCCCTGAAACACTTCTGGGTATTGTGACTGGAGTGATTGTTTAAGGTCTGTTACCGCTGCAATATCTGTCCCAATTTTGAGTACTCCAAGCTCCATGGCTGTATCTCTCCCTAGCAGAGGTTCACCAGTTCCTTCTATAACAATAAACTCAGCATGTACCATCCGACTGCCTATTGTTACATCACATTTAAATGCTCCCTTTACCAGCAAAGGCTGACCTAATTTTATTTTTATTTTATTTTATTACTAAAATATAGCAAGCAAATCCGTTTTTTAATGAAGTTAATGGTTAGCATTTTGACTGTCTGTCTGTTATGACTGATTGCGTGATCCTTCTGGACAGAAAACTACTGCTAATGTTTTGATCAAATAACTTAACTTTAAATCGGGTTCACTGTGTTTTGATAGTATTGAAGTATTACGTGTTTTAAAATGAAATGTTTGTTTTTATGTAAAAAAAAATGTGGCCAGAAAAGGGGTTTCTTTCAGCTGTAACAACCCCTAATACAACCATGGAATAAGCCAAAGGAAAGAGAATGTGTTTTGGCCAGAAAAGCTACTATTTGGCTAATTGTGTGATGTAGCTATGTTAAGGTGTTAAGTGTTTATAAAAAGTATTTCATGTATTGATAAATGCTTGTTGGAAAAATATTACCAAGCCTCACTTGTGGACCACAACAGTGTCAATTTTAATGGAGAAACTCTAAAAGGATAAAACAAGGAGTAACAATAGTGGAAGACAAGACAGAACCTGGCCTGGGACATTTATGTTGCAACTTTTTTTGTAGTGAGGGACTGCCACCACATGAATGTTTTGTTTATTTTTGTAATTAAATTCTTCCCGTCTCCCACCTTTTCCATGTGTAAAATTGAACTCTGTTAAAATACATTATTAGTAACTGTAATCAAGTTACTTAAAAATGAAAAGTAACTTTAGCAGAAAAATTATTTAATTGCAGTAACCTGTTATTGTGCAACTAATCACATGCAACAAGGAGAGATGGATGGACAGACCAATTAGTATCTTACCACTAAGCCAGTTGATTGATTGCTCAGTTCGGATGCGTTCCTGCTCGATGCCTGTTGCTCTGGAAATGTCATACATTGTGCCAAGAAAATTACTAGTGACAGCAGTGTACAGAATACCTCCTGAAAAAAGAGAGAAAAGGAAAAAAAAATTAATATGTTGTTTTACTAATACTAATGCCACATCTATAATTCATGCTATCACATCTAGGCAACCAAATGTTTCTGCAAAAATGTCACTGTAAATAGCCTATTTAGTGAGGACCAGCCAATGTCAGCTTTAGGTTCAGGGGAAAAACAAAAAATTTAAGCAAAATGAAAAATGCTTTCTTTGTTTAGAATAATTTTTTTTAGCATCTAAGGTTAGCTTTACAGAATACATAAACAACAGATGATACAGTATGTCTACAGTTTCATACCTGCCATGACTGCAGTGTAAGGCTGGCTAGGCTCAAAGGGGCATTTCCCCTTCCCGGTCTCCATCTTTATAAAACCATCATCCTGTTTCTCCAGAGAGAATGTAGAGATGTTCTGTAACAAGTAAGACAAGACAGGAAAAACGTAGTAGTTACAAACTAGTACATACTGTAAATTTGAGCAAAAAACAAATGTATGAAGGAGAGAGAGAGAGGGGTATATACACCTGTATACTGAAGGAGGCAATCTAATAAATATTTCTTTAATCTCTAAACTAATCAAAAAAGTTAAGAGGTAAAGGGAAAGTAAAAAAAAAAATCTGTCATCATTTATGATCAATTCACATGGGGCTTTAGAGTCAACGCTTGACGGAGGGCATGTCTGAAGTTGGGGATAATGCGATCGTCATAGCATCACAGCCAATGAAATTAGTCCGCAATCGGCTACTGTCTGAGAATTTGCATAAAGCATCCTTATTGGCTGAAGCTTCCATTGACGCTTGAAATGTTGAGAAATTCCTAACTTCTACAGCAAGGATCTACAATTCAGTTCAGCAGCGCTTGAGGTCACCCATTCAAAGTGAATGGGAAGCATGAATGCTGATGCCTTGTGTGAATCATATGTTACTTACCCTTTCTTGTTCCAAACTTGTTTGAATTTCTTCAGTTGTAAAAAGATGACATTTTAAAAAAAGCTAAAAACATTACCAGTAAACATTACCAAAGTATAGGTTTTTCCTTCTATGGATGTCAAAGGTTAGATGACTTCAGCTTTCTTTAAAATCTTCTTTTGTGTTCAAATGAAGACATAAACTGAAACAGGTTTAGAACAAGTGAAGAGTATGCAAAAAAAAAAATTATAAATGTAAGGTAAAACTATTTTTTTAACTGAATTTTATCTGCCACATTCCACTCGCAGCAACATAAACACTGAAATAATGGTTTCTGCAAAACAGTTGCAAACTATTTATATGGGGTGAATATAAACAAACAAATTAAATTTAGTAATGTTCAACCTAATTTGTTTGTTTAAATTCAGCCCAAATACATTTACCTTAAAATAATTTGTAAATCCAATAATTTTTTTCAGTGCATGTGTACATGTGTCAAAACGTGACACATTTCTTTTAAAACTTCTTTTTAAACTAGGTACTTAATAGTATGTAACACTTGAAAGTACACTTACAATAAAAGCACACTGAGGGTCAAAAGCAAATGTTCCACAGGCATATATGCGGCCATCGTCCAAAAACTCCAGCAAACGAACATAATTCCTGCAGTCATCCTGTAAGGGGCAGCAGAGTAAAGCATGACATACTGCAAGACAAATAATATATAATTAAATGCTCTTTTTCATTTTCTATTAATTAAAAAGACACTGAAAACTAATAGTTTTTTTTTTTTTTTACTAAAGCTCTTCACATTATGTATAAATACTGTATGTCATGTGTGACATTAAAACAATTGCTGAGCACAATAAGAGTGTTTCTGCATTATTAACAATGATTGGAAAACCAAACACTGCTTGGCTGTGTCTAATCAGTACAGTAAATGAGTAATGTCTGACATTTCACAGTGGGTCAATTCATAAAGCATAAAGGAGCACAAATATATCTTACAAAAATATATCCTGACGATAGGCCTGGCTGGAATTGTGATAAAACCATTTTTTTTATCTTACACCATTTGGCATATCTTTAAATATGTAAGCGAGCCTGTATTGATTCATTGTTTTTCATTTGTTTTATTCAAATTTTAAGGTTTCAGGCTAGAATAAATGAATAAGTAAAAATATATACTAACATATATATATATATATATATATATATATATATATATATATACACACACACACACACACACACACACACACACACACACACACACACACACACACACACTTTATGTTTGCTTGCTATTGAGTTCTGTATGTCCCCCCCACATTAACCACACACACAACAGTTTACCTCTGTTTTTCCTTTAGCAACACAAGATTTTCTCCTGTCCTCTGGAACACTCCACTCAATCTACATACACACATGAGAAATAAAAAGAATGTTAAAAAGAAACCATGTCAGCCATGAAGATGTAAAATGTGTTTGGCAAGCAGAGGGTTAGAAACTGACAACATATGATTGTTTTTTTATTTAAATATCTATATGATGTTCAAATTAAAAGGCCAGGAACCAATGACATAAGCTGCAGTTACCTTACATAAATCTCAAAATTAATTTTACTTGCCATAAAGGTTGATTCTACATTGGGAAATTTAGCACAGCTTACACAGATGCTTCGTTTTCTTAAATGCAGATTTTGTTTTAATCATCTGTTTGGTAAAAATCATACACTTCAAGATGATTAGAGGCTTAAATACAATACTATTTTACTGTTTCTCTGTACACTGTCTTTTTAAAATGTTTAAGATTATGTTTTCAAAAGACTGAAAATAAAATACAAATAAAACATTTGAACCACAAAAACCTCTAAAACCTTTGCCTAGAGACAAGAACCAACCAATCAGCACAATAAATTAGTTAATACAAAGACAATAGATATACAAATAAAAGCCCAATGCTCAGTATGGTTAACAGCGAACAAAGTATTGTCTTCTGATGAGTATAGCCAATTATCAATCTTTATAGCTAGGTGGTTCTTGGGGGAGGGGTCTGCAGATTCCATGTTGTTTTTTTTTTTTTCCATTCCATTGTGAAGGGCTACTCTCTATTGCCTCGTTTCCACTGACTGCTACAGTACGGTACGGTTCGAATCGGTACGGGTCACCTTTATCAGGCTTGCGTTTCCACCACAAAGGGTACCCTTTTGGTGGGCGTGGTGTATGACAGTTTAAGTTGACGTCATGCTCGCTCTAATAAATGTCTACAGTAAAGCTGTACAGGTCGTTCACATATCATAATGAGCAGCACTTCTCACAAAACAGATACTTTATACACGTAAATACTTGCTTATAAATGTTTATTACTAACTTTTCTATGAACATGATTTGATTATAGCTGCAGATGAATGACAGTGCGAAATAGGCTACAGTAACGTCTGTAATTATATAAAATAAATACATAAATGCAACATATATGAACACATACAGCCCCTTACAGTCTCTGATATATTATTAATTACAAAAAATTACACACAGCTAACATTTAGTACTTATTTGAGTTCAAAAACACACGCAATATAACCCATAGACAGCACAAACCTCTCATCTGAGTCTGTAATCTTTACCAGCACATGTAAGCTCTGTTAGAGAGTAATTTTGTCATTCTCAGTTCATAATAATCCAAAAGACGAAGATAAACATGGCAGTTTGTTCATGATTCAGGTTGCAAAAACAATTTTGCTCCTGTGTTTTGACGGCTTCTCTTTTTTTTCTGCGTTTTACTCCCACTTCATTCTCGCACTTTACCTTTTTTTCTGAATGGATCAGATGACAGGGACACTTCAATAATCACACACACGCTATTATCATCAGCTCAAGAAGTTCATTATATCAAATATAGAGGCTATCGCGAGCTCCCAGGAGAAAGCGAATACCGCTCATACTTTTAGTCGAGCTCGTAAAACAACAACAGGACACGGCAGATTTTTCTTCTTGGCTTTGTGTCTTTTCTTCGAAACAACGACAAGGTTTGTTTGAGCCTGGGTCATGGCTCGTTATTACATGCATATAGTTTTTCTATGTAATGTCTCGGCTTTGTATTTAAAAAAAAACATGGCGGTTCCTTTGTTTACGTTCTGTGTAGCTTCACGAGCTTGTGATGTATCTCTGTAACCAATCAGCGTTCAGCTGCATGTGTAGCTCCACCTTTTGGTACCCTTTCTTCCGTTTGGTACCCTTTTGAAAGGCTGCCGAAAAAGTGGTACGGTACGGTTTGGTGCGGTATACTTTTTGACAGTGGAAACGACCATAAAAGCGTACCCAACCGAACCATACCACTCAGTGGAAACAGGCCATATGCCAGGGGTGTCCAAGCTCAGTCCTGGAGGGCTGGTGTCCTGGAGAGGTTAGTTTAGTTTAACACTCCTGCATTGTGCCATAATCCCTTTTTAGAGTCCGTTTTAAGATATTAGAGCATAGGGATGGGCCCTTTCAAATGGAGTGCAGTGTGTAACACCACACAGCTTCCCTCCTCAAATGTGTAAAAAGTGTCCTTCAGTTTTATTTTTCCTTCATTCCAGTTAGCCCTTCGAAGTGGCCAGTTTTGATTGTTCGGTTTAGAATTGCACTTCAATATGACAGTAATTTTTTTAATTCCAAAGCACCCTTCGAAGGGTGATATATCTAGTTTGGAATGCACCAAACATATTGGTTATAAATGCAACCCTCTTTACCTGATGGAGGGAAAAGTTGGGAGATTTGTCAGAGCAACCACTCTGAATTGTATTAAAAACAGGCCAATGAAATGTCTATGTAATTAGTGAGTGCAATCTGCCTGTGTCACCACTCTTGCAATTAGGGGTATATAAGGCACACCTGCAATATTGAGGAGCCAAGCCTGACTTAACATTCAACTAATGATTCAGCTGCTGTGGCAACAGGTTTACATTTGTAAAGCTGCAGTCACACTAGACTTTTCAGCCCATATATTTCCATTCATATATTTCCAAGCATGCAAATGTGTCAAGACTGGAAACTCGTGCAACAAGTTTCACAGTTCGCTGAATTGCAAGGTTCAAGCTTTGTGGACTAAGATCTGTGAAATCGCATCATGTGACTGCGTGACCCATTTGAAGATCAAAACATGACTTCTAATGACTTCAACAAATATATGTTGCATGTACATATGACAGGGTTTAGACAGGCACAGCCTAATGAAAATCAAGGACTTTTAAGCATTTTCCAGCATCTATTTTTATTTTCAAGACTGACACGCTATGTATTGAACACCTGAAATGTATTCTCAGGAACCCATAAAAACCTTGCATAGGAATTTATACAAATAAAAAACATTAATAATAATAGTACTAATAATATTTATTAATCATATATTAATAATATAATAAACCTGCACTAAATGTGCTTGTAAAGTAAAAATACCATTACATTGTTAAAATAATATAAATTTTAGTAAATAATAGTAGTATTAGCTAAAAGTGCAAAGTACTCTTTTAAAAAGTACTAGTTAGTTACTTTTGAAAACCACCACATACTCAATAAGGCCATAGAAACACTTTTTGTCCATTTTTATAAAACAACATTTTCAAGCTTTGAAAGGTTTAATTAAAGTATATGATGAAAAGATTTACATTTAGCCTTTTACTGACATATTTTACACTCTTTTTCTTTACAATATGGCATTTTTGTTTCTTAAATAGCTGTACATCACATGGAAATTTTATTTTACACTCAATCTTAAACTAAAATAATTTTACAAAAAAGACAAGTGCACTGTCATTAATAAAATAATTTTCAAAAAATGGCTTCATTTTACTTGAGGTATTTGAAATATGACAACACTACAAACAATTAATTATGACTTTTGTTTCAATAATCAATTCAACTCTAAATTTGCTTCCTAATTAATTAAATATTATCAAGGTAGTTTAGGATAGGGATCAGAATAAGTTCAATGCAGAAAATTTACTTATTAATTACTATAAAGCAGCCAATATCATAATAACATGCATGCTAATAAGCAACTAGTTAAAAGTGAGAATTGGTCCATATATTAATGTTGTACCAATTTAAGCAATTTTGATTGATTGGGATATTTCTGTAGGGGAGTGAATCATATTGCATTAAATGTAATAAACAAAATTACAAGCACAGATAAATACAGTACAGCAAAAATTAAAGTAAAATAAACAGTGATGTTGTGTTTTGCAAATGTAAATTTAAAAATTACACAGCATTTACTGTAAAAATTATTCAATAAAATTCTAATTGATAAAAGTTCTCGTGCTTGAATGCAAATTATAAAATTCCATCATTATTATTTTTAAACTAGGGCTGGGCTATACAATAAATAAATAAATAAATAAATAAATACATAGATAAATAAATAAGATCATGATATAATGGTTTGTATCATTCGGTATCAATAATTATTGAATACATATGTGCAATCCATTTAAGAATATTAGTAAAGGTAATTTATTTAACCACTTTAATTTATCAACATTTCTAGGGCAAATAGTTTTAATAGTCTAAAAAAAAATAAAAAATTACCAACTCTTATGTCTTATAATAAAATAAGCATTTTATAATGAATTTTTATTTTAATGCATTTTTAATAAACACGTGTTAAAGAGACTCTTAAACTTGATGAATAAAATGTTACAAAGTGTGTGCAACAGTAAACTGTAAACACTGAACAATCAAAGCAAACTTAGATCAACATCTTTAAGTTGTCAACAATAATGATACGGTAAACTTCAAACTCTGTAAACAAAACAAATTATGATAATCAAATCTGAGCTTTCAAGTAAAGGAACTAACCATCATTATTCAAATACATACTGAACATTACAAATTGTGAAGGTGAATACTACATTACCCATATGCTAATAAATCTTTCACAGGTGGTGCTAGTGGCTGGGATGCACAAGAAAAGAAACCAAAAAGCCACTTTGGCATACATCCTTGCATCTTTTCTTTTTTTGTTTACAATCTCCTCACTGCAGCTTGTCATGGCACTCATTTTCTCATGTGTTATTCTGACCTGAGGCGGCGATGACGAAACCCAACCACAGTCCGTTAACAAATCGCATCTTAAAGCGTGTGAAAAGTGCGTGTGGCATGTCTTCCTTCACAATTTTTGATGGTGCGCTCCCCCTGGCATCTGTGTTTGTGCAAGCAAGCCTTACACCTGATTAAAAATAACCTCTAACCTTATAGGCATTACTTCCAAGGTGCACGCTAAGCGGACACATGTTAATAAATCTTAAGCACTTCATACCGAAACTTCATTCTATATGAAACTTTTTTTTTTTTGCGTTTTTGACAATTGTGTTCAGTCAATAAATACCGATACCATTTTATCAGCCCAGCCCTATCCTAAACTATCCAGTA